CGAACATTGTTGACAAATCCAAAATGGTGTATAGAGAGAGAGAGAGAGAGAGAGAGAGAAATGGGGTTTAACGTCCACTCAACACAAACTAGGTCATTTCGGTACTAACATATGGTTTAATTTTATTTCAATAATTCGCTTGCGCGTAGGGGTCTTTAGCAGTGGGAGGAAACCGGAGGACCGGAGAAAAACCCACGAGGTTGGACAGCCGACCCTACTCCTTGTCACGTACAACCGGGGATTCGAAACCACGCCAGTCGACTCATGACAGACTTTATGATACAGCGCGCACAACCTAACCATTCAGCCATCTGACCCCACAAAATGGAGTATAATGAAATGGAATTATAAAGTCCTATTGTTCTGCACCGACTGAAGGACTAATGAACACGAACATGGCTACTTTTATCGAAATGGAGTGCAACATTTATAAATACCAAATTGTTTTAAAGCTGAAATGAACGAATGAATATTATTCGGTTGATAAAGATGAGATTCCTCATCGAAACATCACTTATTATTAAACTCAGTAATTGTGTATCCACAAAATTGTACCTTGTGTTAATATGTTCAATTACCAAACGCCAATCAAAGAAGAATGAAATGGGGTTTAACATCCTACCTTTCTGCTCCAACTGGGCTAATGAAGATGGTCAGATACCATACAGTGAGCTATGAGGGCAATTTTGCCTGGACAGTGGTGGTTCCGCTTATTTACTGAACAATAATATACTATATTGAAAGTCATTTTAAAAGCCTTCACAACAATTTTTATTGAATTTAACCTCAAATATCTAATAATTCTAAACATCGACAAAAAAAAAACCTGATCTAGTGGTCAGTGATTTCAAAATTTACCCAAAACTGATGGCATCAAGATGTGAACATCTGGCACAGGTAGGACGGAAAGTGTTATAGACATACGAACTAAAACACCTGTATTATTGTTTAAAGGGGGATAATCCTAAAACAAACACGGAATACCTCGCAAGACATGATTACGGATTATCCTCTTTAGGTACAATAGAAACACTTTTCTTTAAAGCCTCAACAACATAGAGATACTTTCTATTTCTAGGCAAATATATTTACGACCATTTGTGTAGCAGAATCTGTCACTAGTTGTCCTGGCTAGGCCATACGAAAAAAATGTTTTTCTGGTACTCAGAGAATCTGAGGGAAGTTTTTGTTTTTGATTCTTAATTTTGTCATTTGTAAATGACTTCTCATAAACATGACATTTTTAACAGAATTACTTTCTGTAACCATAGGAAAATCTTTTCATGCTGTCATTAAGGAGACTTTTTTTTACATTTTACTTTGTAAAATAAAGACAGGTCGTACAGCCATGTTACACAAGGGCAGGAGTATCTCAGAAACAGAAGATATTTTTAACATGGCCTTATTATCATCCTTTTAAATATGTACTTCCTCAAACACAATAATTCAACTTTTCAACCCTCTTAACATATTTTTATCAAAAAGCCAAGCCTGGACATACATGTAAGGCACCCATCATAGACATTGTCAAGTACAAATTATTCCACAATGTATACAAGCTTGGACTTAAGATACCTGTCATAGACATTATCAGATACAAATTGTTCCTCAATGTATACATGTATACAAGCCTGGACATAAGGCATCTGTCATAGACTTTGTCAAGTAAAAATTATTCCACAACATGTCTGAACATAAGGCACCGGTCACAGACATTATCAGACACAAATTATTACACAAGGTATATATATATTTATGAAAGGTACCTTGTGTACAGACTTGCAAAAAGTATATGATATATTATTTGTATTTACTATGAAAAAAGAATACTGATGACAATAAACAAACAATCAATTAAATTTTACGAAAATAATTTGAGAGATTATGAATCACTTGTGAACTACAATATTGGGAACGTCCAAAACTCCAGGCAGTATTTACTAAAATATGATGAATAGAAAATATAAGTGCATTCAAAATCCCACAAAAAGCATTCCTCGGGATCAAAGTAGAATTTGTCTATTTACAGCAATTCTTTCTCCTACAAACCCCACCCCTTTTGCAGGGCAATTTATGTTGACTTTTGATCTAAATATATAGTGTTTGAATTTACTATGTCATATTTTGAAACTGTGCGCATGTGTAATTGGTAAAAAGGAATGAAATGAAATGGGGTTTAACGACCTACTGTTCTGCTCCAACTGGGCTAATAAAGACAGACATACGCCATGTAGTATGCTTTGAGGGAAATTTTGCCTGGAGAGCGGCACTATGGCCTACATATATTCCGAATTCCAACTGATAAGGGTTTTTTTTTACATGCACGCCAATGTGTACACGGGACCTTGGTTTTCGTCTCTCCGTCCTACACCAATGACAAGGGGGAACCACACTAGCATATCCCACTAAACTTTCTCAGCCAATGCAGGGATCGAACACAGGACTTCCAGGTTAACGAGTCAACGTTCTACCAACAGAGCCACCGTGGCTCCCAATGTGTAATTGGTATATTATGTCATATGATGTTTTCTATACCCATGTGTTGTTGGTATATTATGTTATATATTGATACTATACCCATGTGTAGTTGGTATATTATGTTACATGTTGATACTATACCCATGTGTAGTTGGTATATTATGTTACATGTTGATACTATACCCATGTGTAGTTGGTATATTATGTTACATGTTGATACTGGACCCATGTGTAGTGGGTATATTATGTTACAAGTTGATACTATGCCCATGTGTAGTTGGTATATTATGTTATATGTTGATACTGTATAGTTGGTATAATATGTTATATTGATACTGTGCCAATGTGTAGTGGGTATATTATGATATATGTTGATACTGTACCCATGTGTTGTTGGTATATTTTGTTTATAATTTGTTTCAAACTGTGATATATAATGATATTAGTATTTGTTCATACTATGATTTTTATCCAATAAACCCAACACCTGTTGATAGTATTTATAATGTAATAATAATATTTCTACTAGTTTACATATTGATTGATATATATATTACAACTGGTTCAAGTTGCAATGTAACATATGGTGGTTGTATAAGCTAAATAAGGTCACAGCATCATTTCCATTAATAGCAAACATACTGAGAATATCACTGTAATACACGTCCCTGTTGATATTAAAACTTAGAATAGTACTCAAGTTTGTCCTACATTTGGCAACTAATTATTTAACATTAATTAATATTATGGGCCATTTATAGTCTACAATAACTTGAGAAATGACTGATATATATATATATATATATATATATATATATATATATATACTATTCAAAAAAAGTAGGGGATATTTGATTTTTAAGTGTTATTAAAGTCACCTAATGAAACTGACGAAGAAACAAATGACAAAATGAAATGAAGTTCACATTCATCGATTTATTCCAAATGATCGTTAGACTAAGTAAGGCACAGACTGACCATTATAAGGGTAAAATGATACCCGGGGTCAAACAGCAAAGTTACCACAGCATCACAACCAAGTCAGTAACGGGTAAATCCTCCTCTGTTTGCCAAACAAGCATTGATCCGACGTGGCATACTCCTAATGAGACGTCTAAGGTCATTTTGGTCCAGATTGTCCCATTCCTGTTGCAACGCAGCAGCAAGTTCTTGGAAATTGGCAGGACGTTGTTGACGTTGACGTAACCTCTGTCCAAGCATGTCCCAGACATGCTCGATGGGGGAGAGGTCGGGACTCAGTGCTGGCCAAGGTAATGTGGTGATGTTCTGTTGTTGGAGGTAACCTGTAACGATCCTGGCCCTGTGACATCTTGCATTGTCATCCTGGAAGATGAAACGGCGGCCATGACGTCGTGCGAACGGCACAACATGGACTGCCAAGATGTTGTCCCGGTAGTACTGGCCTGTAACACGCCCTGCAACAACATGTAAAGCCGTTCTTCCAGCAACAGTGATGCCTCCCCACACCATAACAGAAACACCCCCAAATCGATCATGTCTGATGACGTTAACATCTTGGAAGCGCTCGTTTCGACGACGCCACACCCTCCTACGTCTGTCCAAAAAATCAACAGTGAACCTTGACTCATCTGAAAACATCACATTGCTCCAGCGTCGATTATCACAGTGTTGACGATCCCTACACCAACGACGTCTTGCCTGAATGGGATGGTCTCTCAAACAAGGAATCACGCGAGGACGTCGGGCGCGAAGGTGACCCCTATGCAGTCAATTCCGAATCGTCTGGCCACTCACTCTCACACCAGTGTCTGTTTGAAGACGAGCGCTGATCTGATTTGCTGTGATGACACGATTTCTCAAGGCCAAGGTACGGATAAATCGATCCTGGGCTTGAGTTGTCGCCCTTGGTCGACCTGAGCGTGGTCTGTCGTGTACAGATTGTGTATCACGGTATCTGGACCATAGCCTGCTTATGACAGACTGAGAAACATTCATCGTCCGCGCCACAACCGCTTGTGTTGTGCCGATCTGTAGCATGCCAAGGGCACGTAACCTTTCATTTTGGGTAAGCCGACGCATATCAAAATTTGTTTTCTGGTCACTAAAACAATTAAACTGATGTTTCCACCCTGGAATTTAATGCCACAATGACTGTAACATTCAAAGTCAGAGTCGTGCAAATCTTGGGTTGGACCCCCATGATGATCCCAAGCATCACCTGCATTCCATGCGGTAGCTATTGGTGCGTTTGGGCGTCACATGTAACTGGAAATGTTTCTTCTGTTAGGTTCTATAGTGACTTTTTTCGTAGTCATTTGCATATTTTAGTATTATGCCCCCAAAATCAAATATCCCCTACTTTTTTTGAATAGTATATATATATATATATATATATACCTATAGAGTTGAAAATCATTCCAGTATACAGTACTCTGCTTCAAGTTACATGTATCTATCGATAAAAGCTGTAAATTAATTTATACCACAATGCTAGTTTCTGTCAAAAGCTCAAATAATGACAATAAATGAAGAAAACTTACGATTTGTGGGTCGACCATTTTGTTTTCTGTCCAGAGACAGACCATATTTGTGGCTAGTACCTGTAAATAGATTAAAATGTGATTAAATTCGAGTGATTGTTTCACACTTGTGTATAACACAGGTACTATCAGGTAAACAGATCTCATTCCTTATTTTACATATATAGGTTGCCAGGCAACGAAATATACGCTCACAGCAGCCAAATGGTAAAAGCAATCCACAAAGGTTGTCCAATATTTCTGCTGTTTCAAATAACAGGATATGTTACCTAGTAACGGAATATACACAGCAGCTAAGTCGTTCAAGCAGTACACAAAGTATGTTGCATATTTCTTCTATTGCTTGGTAATAAGAGCATTTACAAGAGTATGAACACATGAAGTAATTATCAGAAATAATTCAAATTTGATTGGTTTCTAGTTCTTACTAATGTTAGACTAATGTACCAGTAATCTGATGACCAAAATCAACAGGCTTCATCATCTGATGAAATACAAACCATGTATCAATTTGAACTCAATCAGTTGATTACTTTACCCTACGGAGAGTACACAATATTAATCAGTGATCACGGGCCATAACTCCAAAATTTGACCTACCAACATCAACTTTATAACAGGAGTTGGGATCGTGAAAACAATTTTGTTTTAAATGCTAGCCTAAAAGCGTTTGTTTTTAAAATGATATATATTCAAATGATTTATCTATTATTATACAAGGAGGATATGTAATTTAAGCAACAGCAAAATTTAAGGAAGAACATCTGTTACACAAGTCTATATTACACCATATATTACACAGTACACAAGTCTATATTATACCATATATTACACAGTACACAAGTCTATAGTATACCATATTACACAGTACACAAGTCTATATTACACCATACACAAGTCTATATTATACCATATATTACACAGTACACAAGTCTATATTATACCATATATTACACAGTACACAAGTTTATATTATACCATATATTACACAGTACACATGTCTATAGTATACCATATTACACAAGTCTTTAAGTACACCATATATTACACAGTAAATAATTCTATAGAATACAATTCCTATATTACTGTTGAATACTGAGCAACATTTTAAAAAGACTCGGAAATCAGAAGATGCTCAATTAAGACAGTTAGCTTATGATTTGATGTATATCAGAATGAAGAAGTAAAAGTGGTTGATATTTTTTAAACTGATAGTTTTATTTCTATTTTTTTTATGTTCATATATATAGAGAGATTAAAGTATTACTATGTTTATAATAGACAAATACATTTAAAAAAATTAAAAATACCTCCAGTTAAAATAATCGCAACCACACAGTATAGCCATAATTTAAGAGAGAAATCAAGTAATTTTTACAAATGACAAGCAAATATCAAATACAAACACAAGACACAACCATCAAGATACCGAGTCTTTCAGGTATACCAAAATCTGAGTCAAATTTATTTTCAATGAAATCCAGACCCGAGTTCACAAAGCACTTAAGTTAAGAACTTACTCAAAATTGTTTGCCTTATTCTAACCAAAATATAGTCTTTTATAAAACGTTTGTTGTTTTAATGTATTAAATACATCAATAAGAAACTATGTGAAAAGTTTTGTGTTTCTGGATCAAAGATATTTCAAATAAACAGTGATTGAAAGTTGAGTAAATTCTTAACTTAAATCTGAGAGTGGTTTGTGAACTCGGGACCCATAAATGATTAAATCTGAGTCTGAGAAAATTTCTATTAACAACTACTAAGATCCATAAAAATATTCTGAACGGTTTATGAGATATATTTGAGAAAACAATTCCAGGTGGGAGAAAAGACGGACAGAGCCCATGACAATATTCCTCCCCTTAACTTTGTTCACTGCATGATGCCGATAAAGTTCATCAGGATTTTCCAACGTGGTTTTCCATCGTCAGTGGTGCAGGAAGGAGAGCGCGACAAGGACAGCTGTCTAGTCAATTGGATGAGACAAAAAAAAAACGTGGTCTCGTGTATACATTATAGTGTGCAGGTAAAAGATCTCTTGATAGTTGGAACTCGATATAAGAGTAGGCCATAGTGCCGCTGCCCGGGCAAAACTTCCCTCATAGCACACTGTATGGCATATACCCATCTTCATTAGCCCAGTCGGAGCAGAACAGTAGGACGTTAAACCCCATTTCATTTTCATTTTGTTTTGCTGCAGGACAATAAACAATCTTAGACCACATCAATATTATTTTCTGTTCTTCGGTGTGTTGATAAATAACCACCTGAATCACATGAAGAAGAGAGATAGAGAGAAATGGGGTTTAACGTCCACTCGACACAAACTAGGTCATTTTGGGACTAACATATGGTTTAATTTTATTTACATAATTCGCTTGCGCGTAGGGGTCTTTAGCAGTGGGAGGAAACCGGAGGCCCCGGAGAAAACCCACGAGGTTGGACAGGCGACCCTACTCCTTGCCACGTACAACCGGGGATTCGAAACCACGCCAGTCGACTCAATGACAGACTTTTTGATACAGCGCGTGCACGCTAACCATTCAGCCATCCAACCCCCCATCACATGAAGAATGTTTAGTGTAAAATTTCAAAACTTAAAAATTTGGAACTAAAAGCTTTCGAACAGCACAATCAAGTACTTTTGGTTTTTAAAAAAAGTCTTTTTCCCGAAGAAATAAGAAGGTAATTTTATACATGTATTCCAAAAGAACAGAAAATCACAATGATGTGGCCTTACATGAAATTATAAATACCAAAATTTCAACAGCATCAAAATGGTGAATTTAAATGTTTGTTGAGCTTTTAAAAAAACACACCCAGATAGTCACAATGATGTGGCCTTACATTAAATCATAAATACCAAAATTTCAACAGCATCAAAATGGTGAATTTAAATGTTTGTTGAGCTTTTAAAAAAACACACCCAGTTCTGCCTGTTGTCTGAGTCACATTATAGACTTAAATTCCCTCCAAATATTACATTTCCTACTTTTAAACTTTAAACAATAGACCAGGAAGAACTTTTAACTCTACACATTTTTAAACTTTACGTACTACAGCAAAATGACTCAAATATGGAAATATTTAACTATACACCCACCATGCAACTCTTCACTCAAGGTTTGGTGGTTATGAAGCGCAACACCACCATGCAACTTTTCACTCAAGCTTTGTTGGTTATATAAGCCCAACACCCACCATGCAACTTTTCACTCAAGCTTTGTTGGTTATAAAGCCCAAAACTCACCCAGTGGCAGACTACCCATGGCACATTTGCACCTGAGCCCCTGGGTAAAAATAAATTGAACTAAAATATTCTCAACTAACATGGGGGAAACCACACTGTTCTGCACCGACTGGGCTAATGAATAAGGACAGTGTCTAGTTATTTGGATGGGACAAAAACCAAGGTCATGTGTACACGTGTATGTAAAAGAACCCATGACAGTTGGAATTCGAAATAAGAGTAGTTCATAGAGCTGCTGTCTGGATAAAATTTACCTCATAGCTAGCACACTGCATGGCACCATGCCTGTCCTCATTATTTCATTATCCCAGTGGGAACAGAACAACAGGACATTAAAACCGATTTCATTTCATTTTCAAACCCAAGATTAACTACAGACAATAATTTCAACGTGAACATATGTTAATTCTAATTATATTGCACGGAACGGCCATTACCATTTGTCAGAGAATACAACAATACTAACCATGCGTAAAGACCATACTAATAATAATTATAACAGTATATAAATGCCAGCTGTTTATATTATCCTTATAATAGATCTACAATGTTCATATCTTCCTCTATATTATTAACACTAATACATGTAGATCAACCTGTACACTATGGTATTTTTATCTTCCTTTATTATCAATATTCTCCCCATAATAGATCAACTTTATGTTCATATATCTTCCTCTATATTAAACAATAATATATCAACATTGTGTTCATATATCTTCCTCTATATTAACAATAATATATCAACATTGTGTTCATATATCTTCCTCTATATTAACAATAATAGATCAACATTTGTGTTCATATATCTTCCTCTATATTAAACAATAATAGATCAACATTATTAAGTGTTTATACCTATATTCTTCTATAGATATTAACAATAATAGATTAACACTCTAATATAAAACAATATCATCCTCTATAGATATATTAACTGTTTATACCTATATTCGATATATTCCAGGTTTATTTCTCTTTCTACTGTAGTATATCAATCAATAATAAAATAGATGCAGAATACAAATTTAATATACCACGGTTTTTATGTCCTCTACTCTATTCAATACATATATAATACATATATAATACAATATACATCATCAATATTCCTGGTATATATAGTTGCGGTTATATGCATATTGTTATATCCCCAGTCTCCAGTAGATTTAATGAATAATAATGACTATTGCGTTATATATGTCATATTGAAATATACCAGGAATAATGATATACATTAATTCCTACTTGATATATTTAATTTTTTAGACATAATCCATAGGTTCTAAAGATTTAACTCCTTACTAAAAGTTCTGTCGATCGATCGGCTGAAGAATCCCTGATAGGATCTCAGTGATACGATTGGGGACCAAAAGAAAACATTATGCATAATGTTATATCCCCAGTCTCCTGATTATTTTATTAGGCATTTTCTTACCTATATATTGAAATATACCAGGAATACTGCTATACACTTTTAAATTGTATACCTAGATCTAAAATACATATTTTTCATCCAGAATCACAAATTCCAACTGTATGTATTAATTCAGTACACATACCATGTTCAATTTAACTGTATTATTATATTAGCTTGATAATGTTGAGCGAATATTCCTTGAAATGTCACCCAATTAAATTAGTAGCTGTTTTTCCATAAGTATGTGTTATAATCCTTATCTTTTTCAAATTCTGTTTTTTAAGTATGTGTTGTAGTTTATGACAGAATGTACTTTCATAATTTTATATTGAAATATACAAGGAACTATGCTATTAATTTGGACGAGTAGATCCTTCTAAGTCAAAA